TGGACTTTTGAAGAACTTTACAAGCTATCTCTGCGGGAATGATATCTGGTACTTATACGATTATTACTTGTTACGAGACGACAGTAGTTCGAGATGTATACTTGCGCCGAGTTCTATTTTTGTGTTGAAATCTAAGGTTGAATAAACCGACGAGCAATACCCGTCGACAGTGTCAAGGTTGTCTCTGATGATGAGCATGGAGATAATCATTCCACCATCTTTCTTATGACTACTGATTGTGACAATAGAAATATGACGGGGATTAATTCTTTTATTTAGGTGATCTTCACTCCATCTCTTGTCTTAGTCACTCAGCTTTATTGTTTTTTGATGTTCAGATTTTGTAATTGAGAGCAATTTAGCTTGGCCCTTGGCAATGTTCACCATCTTTTTAGACTTTTTCTTTGAAAGAACTTAAGAGGCGAGAGACCTAGCCAGCTTGAGGTTATCCTCAGTCTGTTGTCTTTGAATTTGGAGTTCTTCCTCAACCTTGAATGCTTCGAGTCTTTCTGTTTTAGTAAGAAAGTCGAACTCACCACAACTAGAGATACGAAAATGAATTTTTACTCTAGTTTGGTCAAGTGACTCCTTAAGCTAAGTCATCTGTAAGTCTCTAGGAACACTAGAAGTTGGCTTTTGAGGTACCCGCTCAACTACACGACCATAGGTGGTAGAAGGAATAGTAGATGAGATTTGAGAGAGAGAAGTGATGACAGCAAACCTGGAGGGTTCAGCATATCCTTGAGAATTGATAGGATTGAAAAGAACTTTCAAGTTTCCGTCTTCAGCAACACCTTTGTCTTTAGAGGAAGTGTTCTGGTTCTTTGCATATGTCTCTTTGTCTTTCTCCTTGCCCTTGGGGATGAAGATTCCCTGAGAGAGACTCCTTTCTGAGCAGTAGCTAGTTTTGTGTGGTATTGAATAGCGAAGTCGTCGTCATTGTCGTCATCATCAGCAGCAGCAACACTAAGATCTTTTCCAGCATTAGGAAAGGAAAGAGGATCATAAGCTTCATCTTCATTATCACCATCATTAGTTGCAGAGGTGATAGGAAGGTCTTTGTCTTGAGCATCAACTCTGACGGCATCATCATTTTCCTCAGCTTCAGTAATAGCTTCAGCTTCACGGGAAGTGATGGCAGCTACAACTTCAGCAACAGCTTCATTTACTTCAGCTCTTTCATCTTGAGCATCAACATCAGCTGGTGTTGTAGGAACAACAGCAACAACACTTTAAGGTAAGTCTTTCTCCCCCTCTTTGTCATCAACATAACGAGAGGTGAGATCATCAAGACTTTTAGCAATTATATCCAACCGTTGTTCAAGCTCGACCAGAGACTGAGTTTGAAAAAGATCAAGTTCGAGCACTTGATCTAGTGATAGGCGATCAGCGACTGTCAAGGAGGGTGCAGGAACTGGCGTTGGACATTGAAGAAAATCCAATATCTGATGCATCATCTCACCATGCTTGGTAAGTTGAGCCTACACTTCATCGACTTTGCTGTTGAGAGCAGAGATGGCCTCACCGTTGGTGCGAACATCGGCTTGCACCGCAAATAACAATTCTTTCACATCATTGACTTCAGCTCTGACAGCTGAGAGGTCATAAGAAAGGTCATCTCAGAGAGGCATGTCTTTATGGACTTGGTCCATTTTGATCAAGATAGTCGCTATAGATGGGAGAATCATCTTGACATTGTCAACCATGTTGTATTCATATTCCATGGCTGTCAATTCTTCATCGAAAGGACCTGAAAAAGAAGAAGTTTGAGCAAAAGATAGCTCGGGGTTAGAAGAAATGAAGGGGTAGGTTGGTAGAATACCTGAGGGGTCATCAACACCATCTGAATGATTGATGTTGGTTCTCTTCTAGTTGCCTTCGAGAGGATAGGCTTCCGTTGACTGAGGTATCTCGAGAGGATCGACCTCAGGTCCTGTGGTGATTGTTTCATCATCAGTGAAGACAATTACTAATGAATCACTAGCATGTGTCGAGACCAAAGAAAGAGAATAAGAGAATATGGTTGAGAGTGGTGGAAGTGGGTGTTCAGCAGTGGCTATGCTGATATTCGCACCTTCAGTGATTTGGGTCACTGAGGCGGTTGGGAGAGGAGTCACGTTTATGACAGTGACTGGAGAAATCATTGAAGAGCTAGGAGGGGTTATAACAGACGTTGCCTCAGGGGTAAGGCTTGTTCCATTGACTAAAACCTGTTGAGAGGTAACAGCCAGGGATGTAGGTATCCTCGTTTTGGCTTTCTTGGCCCTCGATGGAGAACCAAGAGTGGTTTGAAAGGAGGATATTTTAGATGAGAGGGTGGTGGTGGTTGGGATAGATTGAGGGGCGTTTTCCTTAGTCTTGGCCATTGGAGCAAGGGAAGAAAGACATATTGGCACAGTTGCAGAAGATGAAAAAGTACTGCAATGTATGCCACACGAGGTATCAGGAAGAGAGAGAAGTGCAACATCTTCAGGTTTAGATTTATGATCCAAGATTCTTGACCTAAGCCTGCAGATAGCCAAGTTGCCTTTTATGGTGTATTTATTACTAAATATCTTAGCAAACACCATACATAGGAATCTGGTGTAAGGCATTACCTTTTCCCTTTGGTGCTTGTTCAGCTTCAGCACCAGGTCTTCAAAGATAACGCCAGTAAAGTTGATTGGTCTCTGGCGAATGATAGAAATGCCAATGTTCAATGCAACTCTGGACGCTTGGTCTTGTCCACCAGTTTTGCCTCCCATAGACTGAATGAAATGAGAAAACAAATATTGTCATTCCGCAGACATGCGGTTCTTCTCAATTTTAGAGAGCAATTTGAGGGGATCGCTAGAGTCCTTCATTGTTGGCCAGGCGTAGCCAATATCATCTAAACAAGAGATGATGTCTTCAGTGGAAGGTTCACTGGCATAAGGACCCTTTGGAAGCTGGAGAGCAGTCCTTAGTGTGGCTACATCAAAACTGACGATCATCCTGTTAAAGGCGAAGAAGATTTTCTCCACTGGTTTACCAGTCTTGTCAGTTTCTTGCTTGACTTCAGTAGTAAACCAGAACTGCTGGAGGACTTCTTTTACCATGACAGGTTCATGGGTGAGAGCAAAGAAAATAGAAGAAGTATTGAGGAATCTAGCAGTGTCCTCAAAATGTGGTTTATTGGCGGGAATGTCTAGAAGCGCCACATAGTTGTTGGGCTTGAAAGACACTTCGTCAATGCTGAAGTTTACGTTCTTGCCAAACATTTCTGTGATATATAAGAGAAAACAGATGATAACAAGTTTGTTAATAATCCAAGATAAAAGTGTAAACTCCAAGTTTTGAATCGATAAAACTTCTTTTGAAAAATCCACAATAAGATTTAGGGTTTTTCAAAAAGAATAAGTGTATAAAAACTTTAGATTATAACCAAGTATACGAATGTGTTAATAATCTGTATGTTAGTTGTTTAAGAGAAGAAGTTCTTAAATAACATAACAAAAGTTTCTTAGAAGAAGAACAGATCAAAATAAGAAAGAAAGGGTTATCAACCTGTGATTTTTAGAAGAAGAAGGTTCAAGGTTTTTTAGCGTTCTTTGAGTTCTTGCTTGCAAAAGTCTAAGAAGCAGAGGTTCAACGACAATTTTTTGCAAGCATAAGGAAAAATGAGCGAAAAGATCTCATATTTATAGGTAGGAGGAGAGAGAAATGAAAAGAGCAGAGAGAAAAATACGTACACACAAATACACTTAGCAAATATATGAGATTTTCTTAAAGAGATAAGATTAGAAGTGTGTTCTTTTTGGGTATGCTTCTTAGAATTAGATAGAGGAATTCTTATATGCTTGTATCGCATCTTGCATGAGTGGTGAAATCACTCAACTATTTATACCCATTGCATTAAATGTAATTCAGAAGAGGCAAACACACGCGTCAAGCTTTTAGAGGAAAGTTTGTCCTTTGCTACAGTGAATACTACTTTTGTCTATTCATGAGTAGACATCATTTCATAGAGTTGGTGGGCACTAGAATTGACTAATCGGCTCTGTGTTGTACTATACTCTTGAGAGGGTATGGGTTTGTCCTTTGTGTGTGGAAGGACAAGACAAAAACAATCGTGCATGGCAAGCTTCATTTGATCACTGAATGCTGGAATAACGTTGGAGGTCTCTTCAGCATTCACTGAGGCTTGTGCAATCTTCACACTTATGTTGACCATGTTGTAATCACTGAATACTGCTTCAGATCACGAATGCACTAGTCACTAATATTCAGTTTCAGTCTTTGATATTTGCTGAAGGTTCTTGGGTGTGAGTTTTGTCTTCTTGAAGTATAATTGTCGTTGTAGGATTACAATACATGTTTCAGCGATCACTGAACAGACTCAGTGACGATCGCTGGAACTGATTAAACAGAAACATAATACTTCGATGGGTAAAAGAGATTATCATCAAATCAATGAGAGAGATGATCAACAGTTTTGAAAATTGGATTGATGCTGAAAATGAGCACGTTGACTTTAGGAAACAGTTGGTTGAAAACCTTGTCTTTACTCTTTTACAACTGGTGGGTTTAAACATCGACTATTCCAAGAAAATTAGGATGGTTTTTCCAAGTGAAGTTGTAGGTATTTGAAAACTGGGCAGGTCTGTGTGCACATAATTCACAGATTCAAAGTTAAGGCTGCATTGGTCAAAAGTATGACCTTCACCGCGTAATCAGAAACAATTGTTGTAGCAACAGTGTTAGCAGCAGGGACAACCACGTTTTTCAACAAGCTAGTCATTGTTGTTAATTGTGTTGTAAGAGCAGTATAAGGATCTATTTCATGAATGTTTGTTGTCTTTTTTGGTACTATTGCTATATGATCTACCCAATGACCATTGTTGTTAGAATTTTTCTCCAAAATATCAAAACCATCATTGTAGGTATTGGAAATAAAAGCTCCACCTGCAGTAGCATCTAACATTTTTTTAGCAGTGGTGTCAAGAGCATTGTAAAATGTTTCCAGATGTATGCAGTAGGGTATGCCATGATGTGGGCATTTCCTTAGTAATTCCTTGTACCTCTCCCAAGAATCAGAAACTACTTCATCGTCCAGTTGTTTAAAAAGAAAATTTTTATTTACGAACTTGGCACTCCTAGTTGGGGGATTTTTTTTTGAAGTTTCTCGGTCATCTCATTCCATGTGGTGACTGAGTCTGGTTGAAAAGAGTTGTACCACACTTTGGCATTGTCTCTTAATGAAAAAAAGAAATAACTTCAGCCATAAGGCTTCATCAGAAATTCCATTAAGATGAAAAGAGTCAGTGACTTCCATAAAAGATCTAAGATGCAAATGAGGATCCTCATATGGTAATCCAACATATTGACCATTTGTTTATAACATGTGAAACATTATGGGCTTAAATTCAAAGTGGTCACCATCAATAGTGAACCACGTATTCCATGGTGTAATTGATTTAACATTGGAATAGTATAGTCCATGCTGCCACCAGTCTTTGAATTTGCAAGCCTAATAACTTCCTCATCAGGATTGGTTCTTGAATCAGGTCTTAATTGAGTCATTTCAGGAGTAGCTAGAATAGGCAACAATTTTCTTTGTACCCTTGTTCTCCTTCTAAAGGTTCTTTCAATGTCCGAATCTAATTCAAAACTTGCCTCACGAGGTATCCTTGGCATAAACCACTAAAAATGAAAAATCAAATTTTAAAGTAACTTAAAGAAAAACTCTTTTTGGCTAAAAAATCCCCAGCAGTGCCGCCAAAAACTTGTTGTGTGGTTGATCTATACCCTCAAAAGGCTATATTAACAAGTAAATCATGCAAGTATATATGGTTTACAAGTATTGTACAAAGCAAGTAATAATGATAAGTAATAATGAATATCGTTCCACAGATTTAAAATGCAAAGAGAGTCACAAAAGTAAACTTTAAAATGAGATTTCAGAAAAGGGGTTTTGGAAGCAATAAAGCTTCAGAGAGCAAATATCTTTGAGATAGTTGGTAACCGAATACTGAAATGTAACAATATTTAAAAGATAGTATGGATGCAAGATCATGTTGGATTTCAGTAACGAAGTGCAGTGAACATTGCTACAACATAACATAAGGTTGTTGCAGCAATAGCTTTCTACAACACTACTGGATTGAACGGCCTTCCAAGGAAGTACAGATTAGACCATATGTTGGAAGTCCACTTGGTGATGCATCAATCCCAAACTAGTACAGATCTTGTCTTTCTTTCCATATAGTTTTGCAACCCCTAGATTATTGCATCTCTTTATAGCCTCTATAACACACTTAGTAAAAATATTTGTGTTGTCTTAATCTTAAGTCCAACTCATCTGAATAAAATAACATGTGTCAATTTCTCAAAGATTACTAGATGAAATATTGATACCACTTGTGAATAATGAAGTAAATTGCTATTAGTAAAGCAATCATTGACTAACACTTGGCTTAATCTCACAACCTTCACTTACACCCACACTAAGGTATTTAGCATATCATGACTGAATGTAAGTGCTTAAAAATAAATGACATAAATGGAAATGACTATATGTAAATGACGTAAAATTAAATTATGCAAGAAAAGTAAAGAGAAAACTGGAAAGGTTGTTGTAACAACAAACAGTAACGAAGAACAATTAAAAAGTACTAAAAACTACAAAATAATATTAAAAGTAGCAAGGACTCAAAGCTTAGATGAAACTGTGTTCCTGATGGCCTTGTTAAGCTCTCTTGTCCCCTCCTAAAACAAAACTTTACCCCCTATATATATAGTAGCAAAGGGGAATCAAAAAGTACAAAAAAGTAAAATAACCATTGGTTATTAACCAATGTGTAATACAAAAGATGCTTAAGTACAAAAATAAGGCATCTTTTAGTGGCATCTTCCTTTCATAATCATCTACCAGCGGTACTAAAAGATGTCCTCCTCCAAAATTTGACTTTTCAAAATATCTATCGAGATTGAGCCAGTTGTGCCAATATCCAGTGCTACAGTAATGTACACACCTACTACAACAATGTTTATGTCAACATTTCATTCACCACATACATAAAACGGTACCATTCCTGCATCCGAACTCCATTGAATGTAAAACCATAAAATAAGACTAAAAGACTCAATATAGGATTGAGAAAGGTGTAAAATGAAGTGAAAAAAGTCATAATTAGGTGCTAAAGTGTATGTTTTTGCATACTTATCACCTATGAATGCATAGCCCAAATACTTCTTTGGTTAAATTGCTAAATCACTTAGTCATTTTGTTCTTACTAGAACTAGCAAAATCTTTCTTGAGTCACAACTTATCATACACAATCTACACCTATTTGGGGAATGATATTGTCATTTAATTATTGTTTCACTATTAAGCCACTTGTACCCTTTCTATATACAAACCCCATAAATCCAATGAGGACATTGTCAGTTAGTTTGGGGGAGGATAATCCAATAAGGTCAAAGCATCAATACAGATGAGCAAAACTCTAAATAGAATGCCTAATTTTGGATAAGTAGAAAGCACAAAAAAATTCCCATAGGGGCTAATTGCATACTTTAAACAAAAAGAGCACAAAATGCCGAAAATTGATTAAAAAAAATCAAGGTTGGAATGTAAAATGAAAAAGCCTATGTGAGAAAAGAAATGACATTGGAGTGACCCTATAAGCCCTATTGATCCTAATAGAAGGTTGTGTTGTGATTAAAAAAGAGGAAGGTAATGCTAGCCTATGGTTCATAAAAAGAAACTAGGATATGAGTTACCCACTAAGGATTTACAAAAGGCTATGAATGTCATGTTTGGTATGCTTCACATTGCGTGCACTAAATGCTATAATCATGTATATTTTCCCAAATTGAGTCAATTTTTTGTTGTATTTTGATGTCTTGGGGACAAGAAACACTTTAAGTTTGGGGTTGTGATATACATTGAGTATTTAATGTATTAAGCATTCATTTTATAATTTTTAGCTAGTTATTTTCCTTTTATCCCAAATCTTGAGTCATTTTCATTACACTATTTTCCCCTTTATTTGTCTTATGGTGCTAAGTATATATTTTCTTGTTTCTACACCATAGGATGGTTAATATATCAAAATGTAGGTTGTTTTGTGCTGCAACATTCATGCATCAGTATTTTGTTGAATTACGACTTTTTGGAGGACTGCTTGAATTCAATTGTTGAACAACATAAAGACATCTCTTCTAAGCTTGGGGACCACGTCTAGATGCTGCCCTGAAAGATCTTTAGGTTGTTATATCTTTTATACTTGTTATGATTACTTTTTGTACTTAATGTATTTTAACTTTGACTTTTGCTAAACTTTGGCCCCAAGTTTTGGGTTTTGTCTTTTTCCCCTCTCTTTTGTATAAATAGGGGACGTTAGGACTTTTATATGTCATGCAATCAGTTCTCAACTGATTTGGTTCTTAAATTCCAAGTTAATTCTCAAGTTTTTTTTAAATATTGTCCTTTACATTCCATTGCTGCAACATTACATTCTTGTCTTTACTTTATTTACATTTCTTGCAATTTAATTTCAACATTTTACATTCAGTCATTTAATTTCGTTATTTACATTCATGTACTTCATTTATGTCTTTTATATTTCTGCAATTTACTTTTCGAAATGAGTAGCTAATTCATTAGTTTGGGTATGAGACAAATGGTGAAATTTTAAACTGAAGAAAAGTGGACGTTGTTTCGCAATAACAACGTTCCACTATTTCATTCAAGTTTTATAAAACCAATGTCACTTATTGATGAGTTATTCACTTTGAAAGTGTTAAAGTGTCACAGTCTTAGAGATAAGTCATTGAATGCACGTTAATTTGAATGATATGAGAAGTAGACTTGAAAGAGTTGCTGACAAAGAGATATATCATTAACATTTTTCAAACTAATTAATTCTCCGACGGGTTTGTCACTTGTTAAAGTGCAGTAGATTCAAAGATGAACTACTTAGAACACATACCAACTTGAATGATTTGATAATCGACTTGAGCAAGTGATTTTTTAATAAAGAGATTTATTTATCCATATATTTTGAGTACACCACTTGTCACTATCCCTAGTCCTGATACCACATAGAGATATGAGTCGTAATCTATAATATAGTGCAATGGTGGAAGTCCGAGAGGAATACCCTCAAAATAGATTGTGGAACTAATTATGGACGACTGCTTACTATGGCATTGCTACAACGTTGTCTACTGGAATTTGTGTTTAAGTCTCACCACAAGTCTTACACCCATGCTATCTTTATTTTTTCTGATATTTAAGCTATTAATTCAAACCAATCAAAGTCTTCAAAATCGTCACATGAATCATTTCTTTCATTAGACTTATATTAAGCTTTTGCTACAATCTCTATGGACGATAATCGGTACTTTACCGCTTTATTACTTGGAAAAGACAATATTGGTCAATATTGTATACTTGCTTTGTGGTTCTGTTCATATGTCTAAGGGTGTGTAAAAACCTAAAAACCTCCTATTTAACCTCCTATTTAACCTCCTACCTAAGGGTCAACATAAATGTCTCATGTCTTTAGAGGTATCAAGTCATCCGAGTTTGAACATCACAAGCATACTCTTTTTTGTTTATGTTTTCATGTTTAGTGTTTTACATCTTCAACAACATACTTTAGGCGTAACGAGAGATTTTAGTAATTAAGTTTTCATTGGACCACTTCTTGAGATCTTTTGTGTCATTGAAAGTCTTCGGATCTATTGGTCTCTTTACCAAATAACCAATACAAACATTCTATTCTAAGTGTATGTCAACGATATGATATCAATCATCAAATCAATAAAATGGACCTAACAATTTGGTTTACAATTTTGAATTACAAAACTGAGGTACTAACCCAATGCACAACATATTAGTTTTTCATTGATATATATACATAATGTATATATATACATATATTCTTTTATTTTATTAAGTAAGATATAATTAATTAGAATTATTGATTAACTTTTAGCATTTTTTTTATATTTGTTTTAAAAGTTTGAGTAAACTTGGTTATGTATTTGGACTTAATTATGTTATGTATATTGCCACTTCCCAATTTGTGTATTAAGGAATTATGGGATTTTGAAGTGTTCAGATTAATAGTATTATGAAACAATTGACTAAATATTTAAAGGGTTAGGTACAATGCGCACCCCATGGGTTTAAAAGTCATCGGTGCTGGAACTTTGAAAGAAGTAAAAAAAAAAAAAAGAATCTAACGCGCAAAAGGGAAATGCCCACTTCGATTGGATGGGTTGCAATGAAGTAGGTGAAGTGGTTTGATTTTGCGGATCGGGTGCTTCTCTCTCTTGGAGACTCACGTGCCACCCATTCCCGAATCCACTTTAATTAAAGCCTTTTCGCCGAGTGAAAAAAATGACTCAAGATTGGGGCGGGCCACCAAAGCGGGTTTCTAAGGCTGTTCCTTATCACGACTCTTTGAACGGGACATGGAATATTCAAGAAAAATCCTTATGCATAGTGTTTTTAAGTGGTACACATTCTCAATGTCTTGCACTTCACAGACACTCTTCTTGTCCCACACTTCAGAGAATCACAGTTCACATAATCGATTTGAACAAGGGTGGAGCTAGTAATTTAAGTTAGGGGGGATTCAGTCATCTGGGTCCTATTTTTGTAAAATAACACCGACATATATTGTATCTTAACAACTTAATAAGTCTCATGATTAGCAAGAAACAAGGTGTGCATATTTAACTGTTGAATGACGTATTACATAGTTCTATTGTTGCTTTCACTTCTTACCAGACTAGCATAGTCTTTGTAGCACCACTTTCACCTTCATCTATTTAAGGGATGAAAAGTTGCACAAATATACTCAACCAACCTAATAAAAATTAGTCAGATACAATCTTAAAAAGAAAAAAAGGTGTGCGGAAGTAAATCTTATCAATGACTATGAAAAGGCATATAGTCTCTATTTACAATGCAATAATTGCATTCCCTTTTGTGATCCCATGGTGTTCTCTTGAACTTCAACAAGCTTGCTCACGTCTTTTGATGTTACATTCTTTTCATCCAAGGATTCAACTTTTGATGTTACATTCATTTCATCCAAAAATTAGTCAAATCTTAACTTCATTTTCACCTTCAACTTGGCTCTACCAATTTCTTTTCAATCAGCCTAGTCAATCACGTTGTGCTGTATGTTTTCTTCATAATATTTTGCTTCTTCACATCGAGTTTAAGTTGTAGCATCCTTCCTCAAATGTTTTATTACACAACTATAGACGAATTTTGTATACACTCCAACTCCTGATCCATCAAATCCTCTTTTTTACCACTTTTTCTCAATCTTTTAATTTATAAATCAAAATCCTCACATGCATTGAGTCAAAATGCTTAGACAAGAAAGTTGAGGGATGACATGGAAACCTTGTTACATATATGAATCCACCCCTTAACCGCATCACAACTTTGAAGTTTGATGCATAAGGTTTGATTTCATATACTAAAGAAAGTTAAACATATATCATGTGATTTGTAATTTATATAGACAATTTAACTTAAACATGATTTAGGGGTCACTTACCCAAATGCTTACCTGATAAGAATCAACACTTTAATTTATTTTATCGGATAAGATTATAAGATATACAAAAATTTAGATTCTAAGTTGACAATAATATTAACAATTAGTTACCAAATAAAACTCGCTGTCCTTGTCCTCGTTGTTGTAAATGATCCATAAATGCTTAACGGTGGCTTAATGGAAAAACACACCTACAACCGTATGTCAAACGCAGCTCGCAGCCGGTCGCCTTAAAATTCTGTCGTACCTTGCATACCAACCATCTTCTTCAAATCCCTCTCTCACTTATCTGATACCAAAACCTTCTCCTTCAAAGCTTTCCTCAAGGAGGGATCTATCTCTCTCATTTTAGACACGACAACAATGTCCGGTTGGATCTCTTCCAAGCTCAAAGTTGCAGAGACTCTCCTCCAGCAGGCATCTCTCTCTCTCTCTCTCGATGTTCAATTGTGTTATCTATGCACACATCTACAGTATGTTACCTTTAATGATTGTTTGAAAACGGTGAGAATTGCTTTTGTAGAATTGCGCTGTGAATCCGATTTCTATATAGATTTCGCCGTTTTCGTAAATCAAATGTTTCTTTATTGTTGTTCCATAAACAATGTTTTACAAATTGCCTCGTTTTTGTTTGATTGGTTGATTTTGAACTGTTCAGATAGACCAGCAAGCTGCCGAATCGCTCCGCAAGAACGAGGCATCGCGCTCTGACGATGATCTGAGTCATGCTATACCTAAGAAACCCAGTGACATTCTGCCGCCGTTGAAAGATCAGCTGAAGAAAAAGAAGAAAACACCGCCAGAAAAGAGTAATTTTGTTGGTAAATTACGCAATGATGGTAATCTGAAAGTATCTGGTAACGAGGTTGGAGGGTCGCCGAATGTAAACCCTAAATCTAGTTTAACCGATAGTGATTGGACAGAACTGCTTAGCGCTCCTAATAAGATCACAAGTGTTAGTAATGGAGGAGTACCTAGGGTACCTGGTTTATTGAAAGACGGGAAGAGGCAGGTGCGATCTGGTTCAAATTTATTAGCTTTGGACAGGAAACGGAGCCAGACTGTTCAAAATAAGAGTGCCAGGAGATCGGATGTTGTGTTGGGAGATAAAGTGAATGGTGGTAACTTAGATGGCAATCAGCGGAGTGACAGTTCTGATTCAACACAAGCAAGTGTTGGAGTGCAAAGTTTAGCTGAAAATTTGTCAAGTGAAATGCTAGGTAAGGATGCAAGTGGTAGTTATGTAGTGGAAAATGTGACTGATATAAATGACGCAAGGAACAAAGAGTTATCTGCTCCTATAAATAGCTTAGGGGTTTCATACTTGACTGATGAAAACACTCCTGAAATGCAATCAGATTTTAATCCTGTTCCTGAATCCGATGGAGAAGGGAAGAATGAACAAAGCAGGTTCAATAGCGGCATGCTGCTGGGTAATAAGATCAGTGGATTTCCAATAACCTCTTCATCCAGTAAGACGGATTCTTTGTCAGTCAGTGATGGTGAGTCGAATATGGAGACGGATTCAGATTCAACTTCAGACTCTGAGAGTGAACGTGAAAAGGAGGAGAGGAGGAAGAGGAGGGAGCAACTTCTTGCAGAGAAAGCTGCTGCTAAAGCAATTGAAGCCATTAAAGACCGTGAGAATCTAGTTGCTAGATTGGAAGGTGAGAAGCAAAGCTTAGAGAAAATAATTGATGAAAGGGCCAAACAGCAAGCGCAGGAGGTAAGCTTTATTTTCTATTTGATATAATTTGTAGTTTTTCAGTTATTCCTGATTGATTCCTTGTTTAGCTTATATTTATTGTTGTAATTGTACAAAATTTGGGTTAGCAACTCTTCCACTGACCTATAATTCCAGTTCCATATTTTGTCAATCAAGGTTCACATGCTTTAAGAACTCATTTACATACCACATTAGAATATTAAATAGACGTCAGTATTGTTGTTACTGAAATAAATCAATTTGTTATCATAATAGTGTGATAATTCTTTTGTGTGTTCGTTATGTTGATTAATGTTTCACGATTAATCTCAGACAATCTTGAAACAAAATTTCCAAATTATACAGGATCAATCTCAAATAAGTTTTTTTTGATCCAAATTTATATAATAAAACAAAAAACAAAAGACAGTTCATTTGTTCCTGAAAGATTAAGATTTGTTTGTGTTCTTCTATCGAATGAAAGAGTGAAAGGAAATAAAAATACTACTATAAAATAGCAAATGCTTACGGAAAATAACCATACTTTTTAGAAATATGTCTACCGTCTATTGGATGAGATTACCAATGGTATTATCTCAAGTTCTCTAATTGGTGACAACTCACAATGCTTGTCAGGGTTCATTTTCCATTTGAGCTAACATGAGGGATTTCTTAGGCAGTTACTCATGAATTTTCGTCAAACTCCAGGCTTCAGAGCTGCAAATGACAGTGATGGAGACAATGGAAGCTGTTGATTTAGAGAAGCAAAAACATAATAATACAAGAATGGAAGCGCTTATGAAGTTGGCTAAACTTGAGGTATTATTTTTGATAAACATCTGCACCAACTTAATTACTATTTTCTTAAATATTTTGAGAAAGGCAGTGGTTTTTTTCAATTTTGTGCTGATTTCCTGTTTGCCAGATTGTAAAATTTTGGACACAGCAGGTTTACGAAATTGCCTGTCATTTTGCAGACTACAAATGCTGAGCTTGCAAAGTCCTTGGCTACTGCACAGTGGAGTCTAGAAGTAGAGGTATGCTAGTTTCAATTAATGATAGATTCATTTCAACTTTCGTCCATTTTCCCAAGATGTTTATTCTAAAAAATTGTCATCCCCTCATTTATCTGATTTCCACCTCAAAGAAAGATACGAGTAACGGAAAAACGGTGTTCCCGTTTGTTTATTTCTTGTATTTCCTATTTCATCCCAAGGTTTGATCTACATAAGATCTTATGGCTTGAAGAAACTTCTTTCTAAAAAACCATGGTTACTGTAATTTTTTTCATTGATGTGATGTTCTTATAAATTTGTGAGTTGAAGTAAATGATGTTGAGCTCAGGAGGGTGTTTATATGTTTGTTAAGAGGAGAAAAATACAAAAAGAATGGTCAAAAGAACAAAGAATAATGCCTACCGTTGATAGGGATGAACCAGTGTAGCAAAGGTCATACCTATAAGTTCAATTAAATTTAGTTCATATTGGATTGCCAGGATTACTTTGATTTTGATATGAGCATTGGATAGTATAGAGCCATAAAAGCCATGTGTTGGGGACCTTATCCTTTCTTAAATTACATACTACTAATAGCTAATAGCTAAATAGCGAGTAGCTAATAGCTAAATAGCAAATAACTAAGTAGCTAATAGCTAAATAGCAAATAGCTAATAGCTACCAACCCAATATTTTCATGATAATACTAAATTTTCTAAAATATCCCTAACGTCAAATACTTTGTCCATAATTATTTCCAATTCGTCGTCAAGTAGAATTTTATGTCTTGAAAACCTTAGGGGGTGGGAATTGATGCTTTCTTAGGACGAGCAACCCTTAATATGATGTGCAACATAGGAGTACATAAGCAAACAAAAATAAAAATCAAACTAAACCACGCTTACCTGGCATACCTTGCTCGGAAGTAGGGTTGGGGGAGGATAGAATATACGCAATGATCTAAAGCATCCGCCAAATATATATCTTCTAAATATAAATCTTACACTTCTCAAGTTAAAACATACATGTCAATAATGCCCAAACTTGTTGCATATGAAGTCGATATGAGGTCTAAACAATCCCTTGGTCTATGTTTTCATAAGCCCATGTGGAGTCAGTATGTCATAATTTATATGCTATGCTGGAATCTGTTTTAATATCATTCCTACCATCCTCACTTATCTATCTCTTCCTTTTTGCCAATTTCTTCCTTCTATGACTTTTGAATGGTGTAAATTAGTATGATGCATTGACCGGTAATTTCCTTTGAAGACTCTGGATAACGTGAGGAATTTTCATTTTCGTAAGAAGCATGAGAAATAGTGAAGGCACCCTTATATTGTATGAATGTTACAGTATTTTGTGAAGGTGGTAACCTTCACATGGATTTGAAATGTGTATTGAAAAGTCACTGTGAAGGCGGTAACCTCCACATGCCTTCACACAATATGAAGTTATACTAACAAGGTTGACATGCCTTCACACAATATAAAGTTATACTAACAAGGTTGACATGAAGTTTACTTTATATTATCTGAAGGTTTTACATTTGTCATACTTCTCACGAAAAAGGGTATTTCTCATGGAACCCAACATTTCCTTCGAAACTCCTTTAACAATAAAATTTTCATTGTTGTCATCTTAATGTTCTGGGCTTAGGTTAAGCGGGTTGCAGAGCTTCATAGACAAATTGAGTTGAAGGAAGCTAATCATAAAGGTACACATCTTGATTTTCATTGTAGTTAGAGTTGTCATCTATATAGTTCGAAACCACATTTTGCTATGTATTTTGTGCCTATGTATGTGTCATTACTAGTAGATCTTATAGCTTGCTGCCTTATGCTTCTAATCTTGTATTAGAAAAGTGGGTTAGATGCACCAAGGATAATTATAATCACCAATGGTATTGTTTATATGAGCAAATATTGATGTATTTCTTTCACATATCATTAATTTTAGAAAAAGGATCATACAATCATTTGGGAAAGTTGAGCCACTTTACAAAATTTTGAGTAGCATATATGTCCAGTTTGATGAATGGATTGTTTATTCCTTTGTTCTTTTTCTTCGTAAGAAGCTACATTCAGGGTAACACATTTAGTTGAATTTGAACTTCTTTCACATTATTATTGCATTGACTCTACCTTATTAATCATACTTATAAGTTAAGGACTAGTATTGCAAATTGAGTTTAAAAATATTAATTTAGCCAATTCTAACAATATATTGGCCTAATTATGGTTATAGACAAGGTTCAAAATGGCGTGAGGCGTGGTGTGGTAGCTAGATCAAGCCTTAAGCCTTACATGCCATGGCGAAAATGTGACGTTTTTTAAGGCGTGACATAAGGCGGCAAATTTGTATGTCATATATATAATTATATATATATATATATATACATATGTGTTTTCTATTTAATATCCAATAATATAATGATATTAAAATTTTTACATTCATATAAATTAACTAATATTATATAAAAAGTTTATGATCGGATATTCAAGATAGAACTTGGAAGGGTTTTACAGCTTCATTTTAACCGTGAGTCTTTGACATGTGTAAATTCAAGAAACTGTTAGTGATATGATTAGCTAAGTTTGTAAAAATATAAACTAAAGTTAGAAGTGTAAAAACCCATAAGTAAAAATAAATAAATATTAAAAACATAAAAGACATTTGAAAAAAAGTCATGCCTTGTAAAAAACGCTCGCAACGGCACGTCTCAAGGCGTCATTGTGAGCCACGCGTTACACAAACGCTATGGGCCTTATTGTAATGGCAGAGACGCGCGTCTTGCACCATGGTGTGCCATGGCGTTTGGTTATACACTAAAAAGCAAATTGGTGACTTTGCGAATATTGGTTTAATTCATTGCAAAACTGAAGGAAATCAAGGTCATACATACCACTTTGTGGTTGTGATATTATCGCAAACGCAAAATACATTTAAATTCACAACCAAAGTCTCACATATGCTTGTTGGGGTTTAGATCCAATTAAAACTTTGAAAAGCAGTTGAAAGATCAAACCGTTAAACTATTTTAAAGCCTCACGGACAAGGATCATTATGTACAAGAGATGAAAGCAACAAAACAACAACCATAGGGTGTTAAAGTTTATACCTTTTTGCACTCCGATTGATGTGGGGTACTAGGGTAGAAATCCACTAGCTTTTCACCTAGTTTCTTCTTGGCCACATATTCAAGAGACCAATATAGATCTCCTGTATTGAATGATCCACGCCACAAGCAAGATCTTTGATTGCAAGGTTGTGCTTTCAAAACCGAATCCAATGCTTGTATTTGCTCCTTAAAGTCAAACTCCAAAGGGGGGGGGGGGGATTTTATCCTTGGGCATTTTGGAGAGTTAATTTTTGTTAAAACCCAATATGATGTATTTATATCCATAAAACCTTGAGGAGATATTTATATCCATAAAATTGAGGAGATATTTATGTATATCAAATACAATTAATTATAATAAAGAGTTTCCTAACCATTATTATCCCTAGTAATTTTATGGAAGCAATATTTAAAATCCAAATTATCCTTTTAATTATTTCATAAAATAATTAATCTCTCTCTTCTTTATATATTGTAACGATTATTATTTCTCAAATTTCTTCGTTTCCAACTAACTTCTCCACCATCATAGACAATTCTTGATTGTGAACATGAATAATCCCTGTAAGTTTGGAAGCTGTCATCAGTGATTCAGTGTATTAACATTTTACACTAAGGTTTTCTCTCAATCCTCCATAAGTAAGAACTGTATCTGTAGTTCATCGTAATTATGTTCTTGCCTGCTATCTAGTGGCTTTCTCTTGGATTTGCCTAATATCTGCTTGTCATGCTTAATGCATATGAAACATATATCTAGTACATATGATGGCATACCATGATACCATGACAAAACCAATTGCCAAAGCATATGGTATATTTTTCATTCGATCTAGTTGAACTTTTGTGCTAGGACATTAAGACTTGTTCAATGTTATGCTATGTGATATCGGCAAGAAACCACGTTTAGAATCTTGCATCCTAAACACTTCCATTTTGTTGTCAATATATGTACCTTGACCTACTTGATCCATCTCTATATATCTTAATCCCAAGAATGTATGTTTTCTCTCCTTAGATCTTTCATCGAAAAGCACTTCCGAAGCCAAGATTTGGTATCTTGCAAGGTTGGGATGTCATTTGCATGAGTAGGATATCATCTACATACAAAACTAGAAATGCTATGTTGCTCCCATTCTCCCACTAGCTTTCTTGTTTGTAATCACATGGTTCATCTTCGTTTTGACAAAACCAAACTCTTTGATTTTCTTGTCAAACCGATTCCAACTTTGAGATGCTTGTTTCGATCAATCAATGGATCTTTGAAGCTTGCTAATACGTCCACGTAAACCCTTTTTGGGTGTAGCTTTTGCCATTTTTTTATACTCATAAATTTACACTTTATTAGGACTAGTTGTGTACCCGCGCAATGCGGCGGGAGCCATTAATTTTAACGATTTTAAAGTTCCACTGGTTTTATTAGATAAGATTTAACGATGATATARGTTACACTTGGTCTTTACATATTAATACAATTTGAATAAATAAGAGTTATTGTTTCAATTACAGACTATCGTGAAAAAAATTGTATGATAGTTTAAAATCCAATATTTTTAAAATCCAACATATTTAAACGACTCCACAAATGTATTCGATTTACACCAAGAACAAAGAACCAAGAAACTTGAGTTTTAAGATAAACACTCAAAACCAATAAAGAAAACTACAAATTTGACAGATCATAAGCCATGAAAAGACAAAAAAAGATGGGTTTTAGAATGAAATTTTAACTGCTTACCCTCTTTCTTGTCCAGAAACTCAGATTAAGGTTGAATTAATACATGTATATATATATTTTAAAAAAACCCAAGAACATATTAATTCAAAACATATTATACAGTGCAATTTGGACAGCCTAACCTCAAAATATATAGTATATATATAAATAAATAACTATAAAAGTATAAATCGTAAATATTAAAAATATTTTTTCACAGTATATATAATATATAATAATATAATTAAGTCAAAAACTATTCAATATTGGACTCATTTCGAAGTTATTAACGAGACGATTATAATGGTGTAACTTGTTAAAAAAAGTGTATTTTTTAAACATGTTTTAATTGATATACGATTATGTATGTTAATTTGATAAAGGTTTAAAATGAAACATTTAAAAGTAAATGACGGAAAGTAAATTAATTAATTAATTATCGGTTGTGAGAGGGTGAGTATATGTGAGGGGGTGAGTGTATGTGAGGAGAGGAGGGGGTGGAAAAGTGAAAAAGTGAAAAAGTGAGTATAAAGGGTATTTTGGTCATTTAGTATTTTAAGACTTTAAGACTTTTGCTAAATTTGCTTAATAAGATAGCATAGATACTTTGGATGTTCAAAGCCTTCTGGGTGAGCTATATATACGTCCTCAATTAGGTTACAATTTAAGAATGCGGTTTTATCATCCATTTACCGTATCTCATAGTAATAACATTCAGCTATGGCAATAAGTACTCTAATTGACTTAGTTATAAGCAACTGGCGAAAAAGTCTCATCATAGTCGATACTATGAGTTTGAGTGAAACCTTTTGCTACAAGTTTTGCTTTGTGATTTTGTACGTTTCCTTTCATGTCGTTCGTCTTGAAGACCCTTTACACATTAATGGTCTCATTACAAGGAGGGTAGATCAACCAAATTCCGGACTTGGTTCTCATACATGGATTGGATCTCAACGTTCATCGCTTCATGCCATTTATCAGATCTAGAATTAAATATGGCATCATCATAGTTTGTGGGCTCATCATGATCCACTAATATTTCATCGTCATTTGGCACAAGGAATTCATATATCTCAGTCTCATGATGATTCCTATCAGATCTCTGAACACTAGTTGCTAATTGCTTGTGCCGACGTCAGGTTTTACATTTTGTGGTTCTTGAATTTCTGCAAGATCTACTTTTCTTCCATTAGTTCTTTTGTATTGAAGCTATTTTTCTAGTAAGGTACTACGTCGAACAACAAACACTTTGTTCTTGGAGGGTTTGTAGAAATAATAACTCATTGTTTTTTAGGGTAACCTAGAAATGCACAAAAAATGCACAGAAATGCAGGGTTTCAGTTTGTTGGAAGTCTCACGTCTTACGTATGCAGAAAAATCCACATGCTTGGTTCGCTCATGATGTGCCGAGTTCTTTGCAATTTCAGTAACTGCCTTGTTGTCACTACATAGAATTATTGGGCCATCAGGGTTACCTTTAGCTCTGCCAACATTCTTTTAAGCCATATCCCATCATAAATTCCATGACACATTGCTCTAAATTCGGCCCTCCACCCCGCCCCGGGAAACAACCGCCTGGTTAATGCTTCTCAAGTTACTATGTTTCCCCAAATGTATGTGCAGTAACCTGTAGTGGATCTCCTATCCATTCGTGATCCACCCCAATCAGGATATGTGAAGACTTGTATCTGTTGTTTAGTCGTCTTGACGAAGAAAGTCCCTTTCCCGGGCTATGTTTCAGATATTGAAGAATGTGAAACACAACCTTTTGGTGATCATTGGTTGGTTGATTCATGTATCTGCTCACCATCCTTACAGCACAGCTAATATTAGGTCTAGTGTGTGATAAATAGATTAGCTTTCCAACCAAACTTCAATAGTT